CACCCCCCCGCCGCCTCCTCTCCAAGCCCCATGCCAAGGGGGCCTCCTCGATCTCAGCCTTACAGTCTAAAAATGTAACTTTGAAGAGTCATGGGTGTATGGGAGGGGGAATCACTTCCTAAATCCAGAAAGGTCATTTAAAATAAAGATAAATGCAAACAGTGGAGTAGAGGTAAGGGGAACGCTAGTTCCATACGTTTTCACCGTCCTTGCTGATTTAGCAAAAGTTAGCGCAGGCTATCTTCACCGGTCTTGTCACTGAGAGCCTATTATTGACTGCTTAACGCTACTTCCTCTCTCAATTTCCAGATTAGAATCATGAAAAAATAAAAGTAGATACGCAAGTAAGCACTAAATAGAAAAGAATATTTGCAAACCATCATATTCCCCTTGAAAGCATAACCGAGCAAGTTCCTTCACAAGATCCGAAATAATTATTCTACCGCTTAAACAAAACCTCAAGTCATAAAACTTTTCAGATTTGCTATGCCTAAACCAGCAATCAAACTTAAAGAGAAATATTAAAGCAAGTTTTGAATCTGGTTCCATTCCTTTAATTTCTTCCTGTCTCTTTGGATTTTCTATTAATAAATACATTTAACTCTGTGTTGTAACTCCACTTTGAAGTAGAAGGAGGATAAAAATTCTGTCTAGCCATACTGTAATGGATTAAAACTCACTGATTTAATCCTAAAGATAATCTTCCGCAAAATAAAGGAAGAGGGCGTGGATAACCTGTAAGCGTACATACACGTTAAAAAAGAATTATTTTAGACACAATACATCAAGTTTGGTGGGAGACTAAGGGAAATGACAGTGCTAGTTCTTGCTTCGTAGGCTTTAAGACAGCCAGCGTAGGCACAGTCACGCGAATGCTACGTGACCATCTCTCCCCAATAGGACTTCTATGGATTATTGAAGGAGCAATGGAATAGGTAATAATAATATACGTATTTAAAAAAATATATTTACAACATCAAGGCTGTCTAAAATAGAACATGCATTCTGCAAAATTGGCTGGTTATAATACTCATGGCTGCATATTTATGCTAATTATTTTTATAGTATAGCTATTCAGAGCCTTCCTGGCAATAATGAACACCATATAGCTGGGATTTTTTTCCCTGTTGCAGTAGTTTGTTACTAGTGTTAACTTTAGGGGAGCTGACTCTGGAGTTCAGCTGGTATCAAATTGCAGCCCAGACTTTTTGTATTATTTTGTCCGTGGGGATTTCATTCAGCCTGAGGGTTTTCTTCCCCTACCAGGACAGCTGGAAATTCACCAAAGCAAACTTCTGCATTCGTTTACAAATTCCATTTTTATCAGTGGGATTCAGGACAAAGTAGCTTTATCATTTTGAACGTTAGAAGAAATATCAGCGATTCAAAGTATACACGAGAGCGGCAACAATCAATCGGTGCTGATCACTTACAGGCAATGGCCAGCCAGGTATCGGGATGGAAAGCTGTTTGTTCCGTTTTATTTATTTATTGTGGGTTTTTTTTCCATCACATCCTGAATTTTCAGAGATAATTTTTCCTGACAATCAAAGATTTTTTTGTATTCTACACGGCAGAAGCCTAGCGTGGAGTCGCCATAGATTTCCTATGGTTTCCCTCCCAGTTTTCATTAGCACATATAGCATAGGTTACTTGCAAAGAAGTTTCAGCTACATATAAAATCTAAAGTACAGTTCTTCCACAGGTTACAGTAATTTAAGATAATATTCATGCATTCTTTTCTATTATTTTATTACTTTAAGAGAAAATAATTTCTTAAAATCGATCTTCGGATCATAGTTTACAACAGGAGCTATTCAAAATACATACTTCTAGCAAGCTTTTTCTCCATTAAAAATATTTATATACTCCTTAAATATTTATACTGATTGCTACAAGTAAAAAAAAATATTAAATTTACCTTTTTTGTGAGGGGGGGGAAAAAAAAAGCTTTATTTAAATTAAAAAGAAAAAAAATGACCGACTTTAACTCTACTCTTGAACACTTCTCTAGGCAGTATACCTCTAGGCAATATACCTCTCTCATTTCTTGCATAGGTTTTGGTAAACCATCAGAGCTCCATCTTTCTTGCAGTGAGGACTGGAGGAAGGGGGGAGGGGAGTCACCTAGGTTCGCCAGGTCATAGGCCAGGTGTTCTTCCAAAGTAGGCCTTACCAGAAAGTCTTCCCCGCTTTATTCTGAAGTCCTCCTTTTTCACAGTGTCCCTTAGCGTTTCTTATTCCCTAGTGTGCAAAACCTGCGAAGAAAAATACTGTATATGAGATCTGAAAGGAGCAATAAGTGTCTTCTCCTTGGCAATAGCAACTTGCGTCCCCAATAGTCCATGCCGCCGCTTTCCCTTGCCCAGTCTAACCAATGTGCAGACTACTGTACAACAGCATTGTCCTGAACAGGTAGTCTGAACACTGGGGCGACGGAGCAGGATCTCCGGACGCGTCTATTTATTTATTTTAAATCCTCTTTTAGTCTCGGGGAAAAACTGCCTTCCTGCATCACGGGTTGTGCTCGGCTCTCCCTCACACTCTGCAGCACTCACTGAAACACACTGAAGTGCTGTGATTTCCAGTCTTGACGTGGCACATTTGCAGCAGACTGGGGATCTGGCAATGAATTTAGGACCAGGAAAAGGGGGAGGGCTGGGCCTGAGAGTCCATATATGGGATGATGTCACCCTGGGGAGGTTTGGGTATGCACTGTGCCGCTGGTGAGACCGCTAGAATTGCCTGCTCTCAGACATGGGTCTGTGTATAAAATGGTACCAGATGTTTTAGTGTAATGTTAAGCAGTCATTTCATCTTCAGGCCAGATTTTTTTCTTCAACTGGGCAGGAAGTGGGCCCCAGTATGGAAAAGCTGTAAAAAGTCAAGATGTACAGTTTCACTGCAGCCAACGGAGAGCGAGTTAATGTAGACGGAGAATTTGCTGTTTTGTGAAGGCAGAAAAACTGTATTTCTAAAACGGATTCTGCTGGGGAAGCTAATGCAATAAGCCAGCGCTTATTTTCTTTCCTTTTTTTTAATGACTCTAGTTGTGCTTCTCTATTTTGGCATTTCAGACCAAGAAAAGGGCAAATAGGTTCATTTTTTCTTGGAACTGTCAGCGGCATGCAGGCTGCCGAGACTTGAACAGTAATTAGAGTTACTTCCTGAAAGTGAAGCCCCCATGAAAAGTCTGGAGAAATGTTCTTTGTCATAGCCTCTACATGAGTAATTAGTTCCACATGTGGCCTTCCTATTTCCCTTCAGCTATTTTGGCTGGCTGGTTGAATACTTTGCTATAGCTCAAGACTTAAAGAAGCTTTAAAGTTTTCATTTCAAGCATCCACTGTGAAAATAGCTATTTCTGGTGTCATAATAAATTGCTTCTGGTAGATCAGTGCTATTAGGCCTGGCATTGTTTTTCACTGGTAACCCTGCTGGTCCCATTTTTCTTTTAATGGTGCTTGGTGGAATTATCCTGCTAAATTTTATCTTTGATGTTTACCAGATCTATTGAATTTTGCCAAGTATGACTTTACCGTAGATTTTAAGATATTCTCCCCACAGGCAACTATCCTTGTTCTCCTGTAAGCTTTTTTTTCTTTGTTACTTGTGCCGCTCAATCTATGCGTTGTGCTTGGTTGTTTTTTTTCTTTTTTTTTTAAATCTGTCGTAGCCCATGGTCTGAAACAACAGCTAACCTGTCAAGTTAGCTCTGCTGAAGTCAAACGTGGAGGTGATTGTGTGTGGGTCTGTACAGGCACTGCATGGAATTGTTGCCAGTAGCTCTTTTTCTGCCTAGAAGTCTGGGACAAATGGGAGTATGTTCTGAAAAGCAGATCTCCACCAACATCCTGGACAGGAACGTAACGTAAATCTGAATGTGCTCTGTGAGCTCTGGTGTCCTAAATAACCTCTCGTGATTCGGTTCTTCCCAGGTGATGGCAGATTCCGAGAGAGCCATAGCTCCTAGGGGCACGCACAGGGCAGGCTGCAGAACTCTAACTTCAGGGAGAATGGATGCAATAAACTTGAATGCCGTGGAAGCTGGAATCAGAATCTCAGGCCAACGAAAAGGAAAAGTGACCTTCGGGCTGCTTTGTGGTGGTGGCAAGCCAAGCACTGTGTGTTTGTTTCGGACTGTGCATCCGCTTCCACCGGTTGGATTCACGGTGGGCTAGCGTGTGTCCGAGCAGTGCTGAGGGTTGCTTATTTGGGTTGTTTTTTGTTATTTTTTCTTTTTTTCTAATGCGTGAAGGTGAAGGTTTAATATGCAGAGTGCTTGGCTTGCTTAGCACCAGCAGCACCACATCAGTGTCCGAGAGAAATCGAGTTGGTGGGCAAGAGCTTTCAGAGATAAAGCTGTTCTAACGGAGAAAGTAGAGCACACCGTGGATAAACCAGGAGGGCTCCTTCTGCATATCACTGCATGTGTAGGAGCTCGCTTTTTCATTATATTCCTATTTGGCACTTACTTTCTGGAGGAATAATATGATTTTGGAAAGACTGAATAGTGAGAGATTTTTGGGAGCAGGACCCTCAGTATAGTGGCTCAGATTTTCCCCACTGAGGAACCATCAGCGATTAATTGCTCTGTGTGCCACCAAGAGCAAGAAGTGATGTTGCCAAGATAAGACAGTGTTCCAGGGATCTTTCCATACCAGCAGAAGCAGGGGTAGGGTGAATAAAGCAGGAGGCAATGCATTGATGAGCCAAGCAGGCTTAGGGGCTGAGAGCAGTGAAGTTTTGTATCTAGCTGCTCCGTGGAGCAGCATCAGTCTGTGAATTTTTCCCCGAGATGGTTAAATAGAACCAGAATAGCTCACCACACTGCGGCCTGGAAATTCATTCCCTCTAAGTTTTGTTTCCTGGCAAAAGCAGAGGTCTGGAGGAATGGAGTACAAGAACAGGGGATTTGGGTTGTTCTGGGTGCCCAGAAAGATGCTAAAGCCTTGTCGGGGAGAACCTCTAACATAGCGTAAAGCTATTCAGGCCTCGTACACGCATTTTCTTTCCTTCCTAAGGACCGCTCAGCTAGTTACATGCGTCTGTATTAGACGTTTAAACTCAATCCCTCCTTTCTACTTGATCTCTGTTTGGAACGGAATAGGCCCAAAAAACCATCGACATTTCATTCCTTCTGATACCACGCTCTTGATACTTGAAATCATCCACTAAATAGCTCCCCAGCTATACTGTGGGATTTAAAACGGCTTCAGATCAACCTCTGAGGCTCTCACTTAGCTGTAGCTTCTGAAATGGCAGACCGCTTTCCTGGTTGCAGTAATCTTGACTCAGAGAGTTGATATCAATAATGAATTGTTACTCAGAGCTTATCGTAAGTGCCTTCCAAAGGTGGTGATAAACTTTTCATTTTCCGTGAGTTTATCATCATGTTGACATTTCTGTCATGCCGATGAACTCAGCTCAACGATTAAATCATTTTCCACAAGCGTAAAATATTCTTTGATTTTTAACTTGGAGGAAACTAAGGATTTTGAGAAGTCCAACTTCTTCATTCATGCTTATTTGGAGGGCTACC